GGGACATTTTCTTCCTTTTGAAGGTGCTGGATAGTGTTGAACAAGGCCCTGTAAGCATAGGCCAAGCCCCAGCACGTTGCCATGATTTGTCCGTCTCTGGTATGGCCAGAATGACAACATATCTTGTTTAAGTGTTTTACTAATTTTTCTGGATTTTGCACTTGTTCAGTGGTGAAATTCCAAAGTACTGGAGGGGCCCACTGGCCTAGATACTTGTCCCTGCTATCCAACACATCCTGTCACTCATGGCTGTCCAGCCTCAGGGAAAATCTCTTGGTCCTCCTATATCATCCTCTAACCCCAGACAAGGCGCAAACCTGACTCTGCTTAACTCTCGGGACAAGACTAAATGGTCATGGGCAAAACACACTCTGTATGCATGCCAACATGGTGATCCCCATCACAATCAGCAAACAGGTCTCAAGGGTATTTAAAGGCCATTCAAAACCTTCAAAACTCTCACACAATGCTGTAAATGGTCGGGGGGGGGGGGGGGGGGGGGCCTGGGAGGGTAAAAGAATATCTCCTTCACAGGTTGACCACCCGAGAAGGAGAAAAAAGATGTGTAATTACTAAGCACTTCTATCATATACCTCCCAAAGTATAAAGGTGGTGACCACACTGGGAACATAAGCCAGATCAGTCTCATGATCAATGATTCTATTGTATTACAAGTCATTACCATGAAGTACAATGAGACAAGAACCTTAGCTCAAGCCCCCCACCTGATAAACACTAACACAGCAAATACCGGCTGTAAGTAAGGTACAACATGCTGAAACTGTGAGATCAAGACCAACAACTCTGAAAGCCAAGAAATCAGTATTGTGTTGAGTGACTATTAATCTAAAACAATGAATGCTTATCACAAGTACGATTAGACACACTCCGGTCAGATAAGTCTTTATCTCAACCCTTCGTGCCCCAAGTTGGGCACCAAAAACAACTGTCATGGTTTAAGTGCAGTCAGTAACCCATGTAGTCCACTCGCTCACTCCCTGCCTTTCTCCCCCCCCTGCTCCTGGAGGGATGAGAAGAATCAAAAGAATGTTAACTCCCATGGGTTGAGATAAGAACAATCCAGTAACTGAGGTACAACACAAACCACTACTGCTACTGCCAACAATAATAATGATAAGGGAAACCACAAGGGAAGAGAATACAATACCACCCGTCGATACCCAGCCCGCCTGAGCAGTGAACTAGCCTTCTGGGTAACTCTCAGTTACATCCTGGGCATGACATGCTGTGGTATGGAATACCTCTTTGGCTAATTTGGGTCAGGTGTTCTGCCTCTGCTTCCTCCCAGCTTCCCCTCCTCCCTAGCAGAGCATGAGACTCACAAAGTCCTTGGTCAGACTAAACATTTGAGCAGTAACTAAAAACATCGGTGTTATCAGTGCTGTTCCCATGCCGAAAGTCAAAAAACACAGGGCTGCACCAGCTACTAAGAGGGAGAAAAAATGACTGCTACTGCTGAACCCAGGACAGACAGAAGCCAGGCGATGGCATTTTTTTCCAGCCAATCATTTACTTTCTTTAATTTTGAGACAAGTCTCCTATAATCTGGAAAAACTATAGAATAGACATATAGGAAAATAATCTTCTAAGACAACTGCAGAACAATTGTTAAATAAGGTTGAAACCTCTTCCACTTAAGACAACCATATGTTGGAATGACCACTGATTTTACCAGCCTGTTGAATTTTAAGTCATTTGGTCTACTGCAAGTTGCAAAGGGAAGCAGTGTACAAGGTTGTAGGAAAAAGTTCCTTCATTTGTAAATAAATACAGAAAATACCTTTATGATACTGCCTTCAACAACACCTGAACCATAAACACATACCATTCTATTTACAGAATATTATTTATAAAGTCTATGCACTATAATCTATCCACAGAAAAGGGATTTGCTGTATAACTTACAGACAACATAATTAGAAGACCACAACCCTTCACATGCATGTTTTACTGACACTAGTCATGCCAACAAAGATATGAGCTTGCACGTACAGTGCCAAAGGGATTCTCTGAGGAGATGCTTAAGGAACTGAGGGATCAAAAGTATCCTGGGCTATATTATTATAATCAGTAGGTCAAGGGAAGTGAATGTTCCCCTTTATTTGGGGTTTGTTAGCCAGATCTAGAAAACTATGTCTGTGTTTGGGGCCCTCTGATATAGGAAAGACATCAGGAAGCTGCAGATTACTGATCTGCCATCATTAATCAAATGATGAGGAGGACCATCATATTGCCAGGGGGCTGGAACACTTCTCTGTCAGGAGTGACTGAAAGAACAGGGCTTTCTCAGCCTGGAGAAGATACAGCTTTGGGTGCACTCATAGCAGCTCCTCCAGTACCTATAAGGTCATAAATAAGACAAAGTCTGCACAGCAGTGCATGGTTGGAGGACGAGAGTCACAGGCATAAACTAAAAAAAGAAAGGTCCAGAATAGATGATGCAAAATCATTTTCCCCAGAGGGACACCCCAACAGTGAAAGAGGTTGCCCAGAGAGGCCATGCAGTCTCTCTTCTGAGGGGTTTCCAAGATCAACTGGATAAGGTTCTGAGCAACCTCATCTGACCCCTAAACTGACCATAATTTGAGCAGGAGGTTGTACCAGGACCGTTATGAGGTCTCTTCCAATCTGAATTATTCCATGATTTATAATTGTAAGGCGAAACTAGAGTACCTGGTAGTCATAAATGAATTGCTGTGACACTTCTGTAGCATATAAAATAGTATTGCAGCAAAAATATTATACAACAGTATAAAGTCTTTATACAAAAATTTGCAAGCCATTCTTATAGTATGTATGAACACAGTAAAACTTATATGCATGATAAAATGTGTCATTTTAAACTTTTGTAAGATTTAACTAGTTACATTTTGTTGGCATTACTTCCTTCCAAAAAAGAGAATTAAGTATTACAAGTATTATAATTAGGCACATCTTGCTAAAAGGCAAGTATGGATTTCACGGACACCCCCTTGTCGTGGGGAAAGAGCTTGCGTGCCCTTGTGAGGTTGGGAGCTATGCTGGTGGTGGCTTATGCCTCCAGTAGGGTCTCCCATGCCAGACAGGTCTCAACTGAAGGGTCAGACAAAGTGTGTCCATGGGCAGGATGGGTTCACTAGCCTTCAGGCAACCATCCTAGGAGAAGGACAACTCTAACTTCAAACCCGGGCAGATGGAGCTTGTATAGCCCTGCAAGGCCATCCATCTAAGAGAAGGATACTCTAATCAAACCTATGACCTGAGGACTTTGCTGTCACCATCCAAGCTTGCTAGGCCCTGGCAGATAAACCTCAGGTGTAAAGGGTGGGGCCTCACCCTAAAAATCCACTGCACAAGCCCAAAGGGTTTACCCACACTTGCAAAGCCCTGTAGCAACAGGTGAGGGATGAAACAGCAGGCGATAAGGTGTACTGGAAGTCACAGACCCAACCCTGCATGCAGGTGGTTCAGGACATTGGTCGCTCGAGACTGACCCAGGAGATGACAGTCTTATTTGGCAACATCCTAAATGACCAAGCAGCCTTTTTTTGAAGGAGAGCACTGCTTGCTCCATATAGAGAGAGGCCTAGAAAAGGTGGCCTAACCAAAGCTCATCTCCCCCTCCACATGGTTGGCTAGCGCAGCCAACGGGCATCTTCTGTTGCAATCGATTAAAGACAAAGAGACAAAGGCATACACCTGCCTCCAAAGGTGTGTCCAGATTGACACTCGCATGTTGGAACATCAGAACCATGCTTGATACAGTGAACAGCGGGCGTCCTGAGCGCCGTTCTGCGCTAATTGCCCACAAATTGTCATGGCTTAACATCGATATTGCTGCTCTCAGTGAAGTTCGCCTTCATGAGGAAGGTACCCTTAAAGAACATGGTGCCAGCTATACACTCTACTGGTCATGCAAATCCAAAACTGAAAGTTGTCTTTCTGGAGTTGGCTTCATGATTAAAAACTCCATCATCTCTAAACTTGAAAATCTGTCGATAGGTCATTCCGATCGTATTATCTCCCTACGTCTTCCACTACACAATAAGCAACATGTTGTTCTTTTCATCATATATGCTCCAACTCAGCAAGCTGACCCTGCAGAAAAATTCTACTCCGACCTGCATCACCTCACTCAAAATGTTCCTATAGAAGATAAGATCATAATCCTTGGTGACTTCAACACCCGAGTAGGCAAGAACTTTGAAGCCTGGAAAGGAGTACTAGGCAAGCACGGTGTTGGCAGCTGCAATGGTAATGGTCACCTCTTACTAGAGTTCTGTGCAGAGCAACAGCTTACCATCACCAACACTATTTTCCAGCAGAAAGACAGCCGGAAGACAACCTGAATGCATCCTCGATCTAAACATTGGCACCTTATTGATTATGTCTTAGTGTGCCAGAGAAATATTCGTGATGTCTGTCACACCCAAGTGATGCCTAGTGCAGAATGTCAAACAGACGACCGCCTTATGCGTTGCAAACTTAATTTCCACTTCAAGCCCCAAAGAGGGGCAGCATTCTGAGGAGGAGGCTCAATGTTAATAATCTCCAAATAGCTGCAGTGAAGGACAGCTTTCAGGCTAACCTTCAAAGACCAGTTTATAGATTCTTCTCCTGAAGCGCTTTGGCGACATATTAAAAATAGCATTCTGCGGTCCTCCGTAGAATCCATTGGGTTCTCCTTAAAGAAAAACAAAGACTGGTTTGATGATAGCAACCAGGAGGTCCAGGAATTGCTGACAAAGAAGAGATCTGCTCATCAAGCACACCTCGCTCAGTCACTTTGCCATGTAAGAAAAGCAGCCTTTCGTCTTGCATGTAGCAAACTCCAACAGAAGCTTCGAGACATCCAGAACAAGTGGTGGCTCAACCTAGCAGAAAAGACTCAATTATGTGCAGATCTGGGTGACCACAGAGTATTCTATGGGGCTCTGAAGGCAGTGTATGGACCCACATTTCAGGTTCAAAGCCCCTTACTTAGTGCAGATGGCCAAATGCTTCTTACAGATAAAATCTCCATCCTGAATTGTTGGTCTGAACATTTTCGAACACTCTTTAGTGCTAACCGTGTAGTCCAAGGTGAAGGAATCCAGCATATTCTACAACATCTGGTGAAAAATGAATTGGATTTAGCCCCTACCATGGGAGAGACTCTTAAGGCTATACAGCAGGTGAAAACTGTCAAGGCAGCTGGGGTTAACAGAGTCCCACCTGAAATCTGGAAGCACGGAGGCAAAGCACTTCGTGCTCAATTTCATGAGCTAGTTGTGCGCTGTTGGGAACAAGATAAATTGCCATCAGATTTTTGTGATGCAATCATCATCACTTTGTATAAGAAAAAAAGGTGTAAAGTCAGACTGCTCAAGCTATCAAGGTACAACTCTGCTCTCTATTGCTGGAAAAATTCGTGCAAGAATACTATTGGATTAGTACCTGCTATCGCAGAAGAACTTCTACCTGAAAGTCAGTGTGGTTTCAGAGCTAATAGAAGTACCACAGACATGGTATTTGTTCTCAGACAACTGCAAGAAAAGTGTAGAGAACAGAATAAGGGGCTCTATGTAACTTTACTTGACCTCACCAAAGCTTTTGACACTGTGAGCAGAAAAGGCCTGTGGCTGATCTTGGAACGATTAGGTTGTCCCCCCAAGTTCCTCAAAATCATTAGTCTGTTACATGAGGATCAGCAAGGCCAAGTCAGATATGGTGATACACTCTCTGAGCCCTTCCCAATAACCAATGGTATGAAACAAGGTTGCATTCTCTCACCAACTTTATTCACAATCTTCTTCAGCATGATGCTCCAAAGGGCTACGGTAGACCTCGAAGAACAAAACAGCATCTATATTCGGTATTGTACTGGTGGTTGCCTATTCAATCTAAGGCGACTGAAGGCCCACACTAAGACCCTAAATCATCTTGTCCATGAACTGCTTTTTGCTGACGATGCAGCCTTTGTTTCCCACACAGAAGCAGCTCTGCAGTGTTTAACATCTTGCTTTGTGGAGGTGGCTGAGCTTTTTGGGCTGGAAGTCAGCTTGAAGAAGACAGTAGTTCTCTACCAACCTGCACCACAAGAAGATTGCCATCATCCCCACATTACCATTGGTGAGTCAGAGCTTAAGTCAGTTCAGCAGTTCAGCTATCTGGGAAGCATTATTTCCTTGGATGCCATGATCGACAAAGATAGACAACAGAATACCAAAGACATATAGAGCCTTCGGAAAACTCCATAAAAGAGTCTGGTGCAACAAACACCTGAATTACAAAGATCAGGGTCTACAGAGCCATTGTACTGTCTACTCTTTCATATGGGTCTGAATCATAGGTCATCTACCGTCATCATCTGCGACTCCTCGAACTCTTTCATCAGTGCTGCCTCCGTACAATTCTAAACATCCACTGGACTATGTACCAAATGTCACTCTCCTCAAACAGGCAGGGGTCACAGTATCACAGTATCACAGTATGCTAGAGATTGGAAGGGACCTCGAAAGATCATCTAGTCCAATCCCCCTGCCGGAGCAGGAACACCTAGATAAGGTTACACAGGAATGTGTCCAGGCGGGTTTTGAATGTCTCCAGGGAAGGAGACTCCACAACCTCCCTGGGCAGCCTGTTCCAGTGTTCCATCACCCTCACCGAGAAGAAGTTTCTTCTCAAGTTTAAGTGGAACCTCTTGTGTTCCAGTTTGTACCCATTACCCCTAGTCCTATCATTGTTTGCCACTGAGTAGAGCCTGGCTCCATCCTCGTGACACTCCCCCTTTATATATTTATAGACACTAATAAGGTCACCCCTCAGTCTCCTCTTCTCCAAACTATAGAGACCCAGCTCCCTCAGTCTTTCCTCATAAGGGAGATGCTCCACTCCCTTAATCATCTTCGTTGCCCTGTGCTGGACTCTCTCCAGCAGCTCCCTGTCCTTCTTGAACTGAGGGGCCCAGAACTGGACACAATATTCCAGATGGGGTCTCACCAGGGCAGAGTAGAGGGGAAGGAGGACCTCTCTCGACCTACTAACCACCGCCCTTCTAATACACCCCAGGATGCCATTGGCCTTCTTAGCCACAAGGGCACAGTGTTGGCTCATGGTCATCCTGTCGTCCACTAGGACCCCCAGGTCCCTCTCCCCTACACTGCTCTCTAACAGGTCGTTTCCCAACCTATACTGGAACCTGGGGTTGTTCCTGCCCAGATGCAGGACTCTACACTTTCCCTTGTTATATTTCATCAAGTTATTCCCTGCCTGGTCACCAGTATCAAGGCCATATTGCTGAAACTGCAGCTGCGCTGGGCAGGGCACGTCTCCAGGATGAAGGATCACCGCCTCCCTAAGATTGTGTTTTATGGTGAACTTGCCACCGGTAACCAAAAGAGAAGTGCCCCAAAGAAGAGATATAAGGACTCCCTGAAACAATACCTTAGCCTTGGCCATATTGACTACCATCAGTGGTCCACCTTGGCCTCCAATCAGGAGACTTGGAGACACACCATACATAATGCCGTTGACTCCTTTGAGAACTCATGCAGAGCTAGTCTCAAGGAGAAAAGACAACGTAGAAAGAATTACACCCCGCCTATACCACCCAAGGAGACCTTTCGCTGTTCTTTTTGCAGCCGGATTTGCCCATCTCACATTGGCCTTTTTAGTCATCAGAGCGCTTGCAGTAAGTGTGGGTAAAGCCCTTCCCAAATCTTATATTCATGAAGTCAAGCCATGAATGAACATGCTTCAGATTTTAACTTTGATTTTCTAACTAAATATATCTTGTCTGTGCCAGAAAACTTTACAGAACAATTCTCACCAGTGCTAGTACAGTCTTTACTGAACTCCATAACAATACCACAGGAAGCTCTAATTCAAACCAGAGCCTCTGATTAGAGCCTATCTTTTCATTTTGTCCCCTATCTTTCCAACTTAACTACCAGAACAGGAAATGTGCTGCAATAACATGAAACCTTTTTTACATTATGGCTAACATCAATTCACTTGAACCCACCAGAAGAGGGGTCTTTTGTTATGGATTTGTGGTTTCTGTGTTTTTTTTTAAGTGTGAGATGTGCCTTAATATCTCTATACCTGACTACACAAAGTATGTTTCAGCCACATCTCCAAAGCAGTTTTTTGAGAGCACACAGTCATGTCCGTTCATGTATTTCCTACATCTGTCAAACTTTGTAACAGAGAAAGCTCAAAGAAACAAGATCTAAGAAGAACTCTTTCAGAGAACACATGCACAAAGCAATACCCATAAAGGAAAAATATAACATATATGGATAAGACTAAATGTATGTTTTGTCAAACATCTCTGACATCTATATAGGACTAGGTCAATCACAGCTGCCTCAAAGAATATTGATGAAAGGTTTGACTTCTCTGGTTGGGGCTTTAGGGTATTTGCTATAGTAGAACTTGGAAAATTAGAAATATCAATGTGTGTACCTCACAGCATGCCTCACATATAGTTTCATAAACTTCTTGTTTGGTATAGGAATGAGCACCTCAAAGAGTCTTTTGTCACAAGTCACATCAACAGTGGTGACAGAAAAGGGAACAAGTATTTAATGCAATTAGACACATTTTCCTTTCCTGCCTTTCAGGTACATTGTTTCCCAGAAAAAAAAATACTGCTTTCTAGCTTTAATTTATTATTTCTTTTAATTGACAGATAGGTTGATCTCTATACTAAGCAGCTGACTACCTGCAATCTAAAGTCTAAGCACAAAATAAATACCATTTATTTTTTCTTGTCTAGTTCCCATACCACTCAGATGTGGATGAATACTACTGACAGCCCTCATCCCACACTGGGGAGTTCACCCTAGGCGAAGATCCATAAACTGTGGGACCATGAGAATAAGAGTAATGTAGGCTAACAGGTACAGATGTGTGGCCTTGCAGGTCACTGTACAATTGCACCTATGGCACAATCACTTAGCAGCAACACACCCACTGCTTAGACATGTGGGTGGTCAGTATCCTAAGTTCTGCTTCCACCATGAGTACTGTTTCCTAGAGGGAAGGGTACCAGTGCTCAGTGGATAGGTGGCAGCTCCCAAGAGAAATACATGAAGATGCCATCTCTAATGACATTTTCTAAAATCTCATTCTAGTAACATTCCTTGCAAGACTCCTGTGAGATGGGTTAAGGTTTATAACTACTTACAAAGAATTGTCTTAATGAGATTACAAAAAGCAGTAAGACACGATAGAGAATGTACTGAAATTATTTTGAATTTTCTTACAATATTTCTCTTCTGCATCTTCTTTGGAGGACTCCAACAAAGCTCAAATCTTTTTTTTATATTATTTCTGTTTATTTTTTATTTTCATAGAATCACAGAATGGTTTGGGTTAGAAGGGACCTTAAAGATCACCTCGTATCAAAACCCCTGCCACATGCAGGGACACCCTCCACTAGAGCAGGTTGCTCAAAGCCTCATCAGCCTGTCCCTGAACATTTCCAGAGATGGGGCATCCACAACTTCTCTGGACAACCTGTTCCAATGTCTCACCACCCTCACAGTAAAGAACATCTTCCTCACCTCTAAGCTAAATCTACCCTCTTTCAGGTTAAAGCCATTCCTGCTCATCCTGTCACTACATATGCCTGTAAAAAGTCCCTCTCCAGCTTTCCTGTAGGCCCCATTTAAGTTGTTTGAAGACTGCTCTAAGGTCTTCCTGGAGTCCTCTCTTCTCCAGGCTGAACAGCCCCAGCTCTCTCAGCCTGTTTTCATAGGAGAATTATTTAGAATGTTTTCAGTCATCTTTCTCACTAACTCCCTTCTCTGACCTCCTAGCTTCTCCATAGAAATTAATATATCCACCCTTCTTATGACAAAATGCAGTCCGCTTCACTAACACACACTTCCCATTGAGTTCAGAGGGGATATGCTCAAGTGTATCAGGACACTTCACTACCATTTTACTTGTGTTTGAAAATTATAACTTATCTGTGGAATGAGGAAAAAAATAAAAAAGAAAAAAAAAGTTATAATATTACTCATTATTATTGTCTCTGTGCCTATGCTCTCCTATCAATTTAGCAATAAAATGCCCCCATGGCAGGGGGGTTGGAACTAGATGATCTTAAGGTCCTTTCAAACCCTAACTATTCTATGATTCTAAAACATAACCAGCACATCCGAAGTCTTCATCTGCAGTCAAATTTTTGTTCCATGGACATGAGCCCCTCCAAATAGATCTAGATCCTTGACATACAAAGTACTGCTCAAAGAACGATAGCTATTAGTATATTAATATTACTGCAAACATAGTCTTTGCCAGGAATCTTACTCAGAGACATATGGTGAGCAGCTCATTTCTGGCACATTATTTGTCTATGAACTAATAATCAGTAGAGGAAGTTAAATGTAATGCTGCACAGTCTTCAGATCCTGAAACAATTTATTGTCTTCTACTAACTTAGCAGAAGAGGAGAAATACTGCAGTATTTTCTCAAGACACTCAAAGACTCGCATAACATTGGTTAACTCATCTGAATGTATGAAGAAACATACTTTTCTTTAGTGTCTGTGCTTGCTATGAGCATAGTGTAATATCTGCATCAGTCAGCAAAGAGAATCAGTAGCTCACAAAACCAGCAAGCTATTACTCAAAATACATAATCAAACACCATCAGCTCCAAGGCCTTCCATCTCACATTTTCACTTTGCCACTTCCTGCAATGGTTTGTGACTATGTAAACAGTTCAGAGAACACAACAACTGCTTTATTCTCAAATCTTTTTTAAACTGACTGTGTCTAAACTCATTGTTCCAAGCCAGATTTTGTACTGACTGTCCTACAGTACAATCTGAAGTACTTTCCCAATAACAGATCTGAATTATAACCTTTTATATATATTCAGTCTATACCTACAATACATTACTAGTGTGGAGACAGTGTTCTCACGGGAGAATGGATAATTAGTACATAAACTCTGAATAATCCTGAAAGATACAGCAAGGCCGTGAGAGGCCCAAGGAAGCTTAAGCAAGCAAGATAAGAAGCTGGAATTCACTGAGTTAATGAGAACTGTTGGCAGGCTTCCGAGGTCAAGTTCTCACACCTGTGCTTAACCAATTATATGTTAGTCACTAAGGGTCTTCAAGACATGTATCCAATCATAATATGCCAAATCACTGTAACTGCATGTAAGAAATAGTATATAAGGAGTTAAGGCTTTGTAATAAATTTGGCAATTGCTTGATCACATTGATAGTTTCTGAGTTGTCCGTGACTCCTGCGTCAACATACTAGACCATGTCAAGATCACATAAGAGCAACCTACAGTCTGCTGATCAGACACTTTGAATCCATAACAGCAGTTCTTCTAGGTCTCATTCTTTGTTTGGGGGCCATGCTCCTATTGCAAATTAAATACATCCCTGATACAGAAACTCTATACTTCAGACACACCATCTGCAGGAACTGCTCAGAGACAT